CACCTTTTGTGTGCCAATCACACTTTGTTCACTAAGTGCATCTATCACACTTTGTGTTCACCTTTAGTGTATCCATCACACTCGTTCACTCAGTGCATTTATCACACTTCGTGTTCACATTTAGTATATCAATCATACTCTGTTCACTAAGTGCATCTATCACACTTCGTGTTCACATTTAGTATATCAATCATACTCTTGTTCACTCAGTGCATCTATCACACTTCGTGTTCGCATTTAGTATATCAATCATACTCTGTTCACTCAGTGCATCTATCACACTTTGTGTTCACATTTAGTATATCAATCATACTCTGTTCACTAAGTGCATCTATCACACCTCGTGTTCACATTTAGTATATCAATCATACTCTCGTTCACTTAGTGCATCTATCACACTTCGTGTTCGCATTTAGTATATCAATCATACTCTGTTCACTAAGTGCATGTATCACACTTTGTGTTCGCATTTGGTATATCAATCATACCCTGTTCACTCAGTGCATCTATCACACTTTGTGTTCATTTTTAGTGTATCTATCATACTCGTTCACTTTGTGTATCCATCACACACGCTCGCTTTGTGTATCTATCACACATTCACTTTGTGTATCCATCACACACGTTCACTTAGTGTGTCTATCACATATTTGCTTAGTGTATCCATCACACCCGTTTCGCTTTGTGTATCTATCACACTTAGCTTCCCTTACTGTATCAATCACACTTCATTCGTATAAGCGTATCCATCACACTCTCTTCACTATGTCCATCTATCACACTTCGTTCACTTTTGTGTATCTATCGCACATGTTCGTGAAAATTGTATAATTTTCTTACATCCTTTCTGTATGAAATGTAGCTTGGTTTGAATTTGCTTGCTTAAAACGGTTGCATGATTTGCTTCATTACAGCATCCTTGGCATGATCATAAGTTTTGTCCGGCTTTGTGCATACCATTTTGCATTTTGCCCCTACCTGCGGGCATGCCTGCGGGCACATCTTTGTTATCTTGCCTGTTTGTCTAAGTCTTTGGCCTAGTAAAAAATGGGTCTCTCTGGGCTTTGACAGTCACTCCCGTCACGTGTGACTTTCGAGTTCTGTCAAAGAGGGGCAACTGTAGACACCCCATTTTTGACCGACCTTAAGACTCAGACGTCACCAGTTGAGCGCTCGGTGATGTTGCATATTGTGCTCGTTCTGAGGTTTCAGAGTCTCGGCTGCGAGCCTTGCCTCCGGACTTCGAGGCTCTTTTGTGCTTTGCCTCGGTTTGCGAACCAAGTCCTATTTTCTCTATTTTCTCTCCCCGAAGGGAGGGAGAGGTCCCGTAGATCATCTCTCAGTGGCCGTAGGCTACGTTTCGTGGTCGTAGGCCATTTTTTTCCATTTGGAGTCCGGTTTCTGGTTTTCGGAGCCGTTGGTCGTGTGCCTCGGTTTGGGACCGCTCAACTACCTTCGTTTGCTCCGGTTTATGGCACACACCTTATTTCCTCCCTTTAGAGGGACACTGTGGCCTGGGAGACCACCTTCGTGGTCATACACCACTTCCGGTGCCTAACAGCCTGTTTTTAGGGCCCCGAACCGCGCGTTTTGGCCCCCGGACCTTCATTTTGCATCCGTTTTGGTCCATTTTTGGTAGAGACCCTATTTTCACTGTTAGGGAGGTGGTAGGATGGTGGCCGGCCAGCTATTCCCCTGAAAATCCAGTTTTCTCATTTTCTCTCTCCAAACGCCGATTTTTCTGACAGAAAGCTGGTTTTCCCACTTTTGAGCCACATTTTCTGGCTTTTCATACCACCATTGTGATCTACTCATCTGGGAGGCCACCAATATGGGTAGGCCAGCCAGAAATTCATCTTGACGCTTTTGAACCTTGCTTAAAAGCTAACTTTTCTCTCTCTTGGGTCACTTTTTTTGGTTTTTCTCCACAGGGCTGTGTTCTACTCATCTGGGAGGCCACCTTTCTGGGTAGGCCGACCAGCAATTGTTCTTGAACCTTTTGACCCCTGGTCGGCCGACCAGGGGGAGTGGCCGGCTGGCCACTTGAACTGGCCGGCCTGCTTATTGCTTTTCTTCTCTTTGAGTGTAATCCAGCTGTGCCAGCTGGAGATCATTTGGTGCATCCTCCATATATGGAGGATCTTTCAAGCTTCCAAGAGAAGCTTTGGCCTCTCTTCTCTATATGAGAGGCCCTCCTCTTCATCTTGGCTGGTTGGACACTTTTGCTTAAGGCTCATTACCTCCCACCTCCATTGCTTCTATTCCAAGCTCCAAAACCCTAACTTCCTTGGTCCATTTACACTACAACCCATAGCACCACACCATCATCATCCATTCCAGCCCCTTGGAAGTCATTTGAAGAGGTTGAAAGCTCATTTCCTTGGACCAAAGGCTGCTGGAAAGTTGGGCTACAAGGGTAAGCTCCTATTCTCCCCATTTTTTGCACTATTTTGTTCTATATCTTAGCCCTTTTTGCTTACATTTTTGGGCTTCAGCCTGAACTAAAAAAAGTCTTATTGCTCATCTTCATGTTTGATTAAGGACTTTTCTCTGTTTGAAGTCTTCTACTGCCCCTTTCCCTTTATCTCTCTTTTAGGGCTATTTTTCCATCATATTTTAGCCTTACTTGTGAGCATATTCGAGATTTGCCATAAACTGTAAAGTATCTTGTTTTGAGCCCCTTTTCAACTTTGTTGAAGGACTCTTTGCTGTTTGAGGCCTTTTGCTGCCCTATTTGTTCAATCTCTCTTTTAGGGCTGTTTTTTGCATGGTACATTAGCCTTATTTGTGAGCCATTTTAGACCTCGACCTAGACTGAAAAAAATCTTGTTTTGATATCATCTTTATGTTTAATTATGATCTATTCTCTGTTTGGGGTCATCTTCCCCTATGCATGCTTCATTCCTTCATGATTAAGGCTATGCATTAGAACACTTGCATTGGCCATGGTTTGGCCTCTTAGGCACTGAAATCCAGTGGATTTTCAGTGGCTTTGATGCATTCTTGAGGGCCAAAATTAGAGGGGGGTGACCCCCTCTCTCCTTGTCTTGTTTGGGGGACTTTTGGGCCTTCCAAAGGGACCCTATTTTTCATGCATCAAAGTCACTTTCCAGGCCTCATTATGAGGGTTTTGAGGTCTGCATTGGCTCTGTCCGAGGCCCATTTCGCCATATTTTAGGTCTATGTTGCATGTGTAGACCAATCCCATTCAAGGCCCTTCAAAGAGGCCTTTCTTTGCATGTTCCCTAGACCAATTTCAGGGTCAATTTAGTGAGTTTTAGGGCTGTCATATTTGATTTCCAGAGTTGGTTACACCATGCTAAGTGTCTATCTTGTATGTGCTTAACAACCCCTTGAATGGCCTTCCAAAGAAGCCCCTCATTTTTGCACATGTTGGCTGCATTTCAGTGATTATTTGGATATATTTTGGCATGTTTTATTCACTGATTTTTCATGGTTTGGTGAGATTTTATATGCTTCATATGCATGCCATATAAACCATGTTTGCTAGTCAAAGTTGCATGCTATTTTAGTCCATCATGCTAGCATCTTTTGGTCATGCTTTGAACTAGAAATGTTCATGTTTTGGGACTGCCTTGGCTCTGTCTTTGTGCTTCATGGTCAAATAATGCATGCTTTGTATAGCTACAAGTCAATACATCTGCCTAGTTTTGAGTTTCGGGGCTTACTCCATGCATCGGGTGCCATGTTTGCATGATTCGGGACCATTTAGCATTATGTTTCAGTGCTGAAAATTACATGTTTGAATTTCATGCTTCATCCTTGCCATGCTTTGGCAGAGTGGTATTTTATGCCTTAGGTTCGGTCCTCGGTTTGCGTACAAGTGTGCACGCATTTCGGTCATCTCATTTTCATCTTATGGCTACTGATGTGAGTGTGGCTAAGGTCCACTCCTGTTGGTGTAAGTCCATCGTGCATTGTGTATGCCATTTCAATCCATAGCATTGTGTATGCTAGGTTGCATTTTAGAGCATTGTGTATGCCATGTTACATTACGCGCATTGTGTATGCCATTTTAGTATATAGCATTGCATATGCTAGGTTGCATGTTAGTCGCATTGTGCATGCCATGCTATTTGCATTGTGTTTGGGATAAGAGTTAGCCCGAGCACGGGAAATGAGGGACGTTTCGTATTTTGAGTGACGGAACGTGTCTCAATTCCCTGTCACCGACACTCCGGATTACCCATGATGGAGTTTAGGTCTTGTTGTGTTTTCATGTGCATTCATTTCATATTGAGTCGTGCAATTCGACTCCTCGGCCATCATGCATCGATATGCGTGATTGGCGGCACGAGGATCGAGGACTACACTCCCTGAAGAGTAGTCATGCATACATGTGCGAAATACTTTGCCATGCCCCTTTGTTACTCTCTGTTGCAGTAAATCAGAAATCAGCAGCTTTTTAAGAGCCTTGCATAGCATTCCGGCATTAATTGCAAACAGAGGCGAACCGGGCACCGCAATGGATTTCCGCGCCGGGCAACTCGAGCATGCATCATTCATCATTTGGAATAGAGCTGAGGCGGTCCATGGATTTGCGTGCCAATTTATCTGCTTTCCTAGATTAATTTGTTAATTAATTAGGATTTTGTACTTATTCGGACTGTAATTATTTATTCGGACTGTATTATTAATTCGGACCCTCTGAGCGAGGGCACAATTGTAATAAGTGCGCGTGTGTGTGATGTATGTCTTCCAACCCCACGTCTTTCTCCCTTTTATTTACCAGCTTATGATGGTTAGATTAGGGCATGTTTCAATTAACATACAGTATGATAGCATGTTTGCATTCATTATTATTGGGAGTAAAATGCAAAGGTAATGAAGATGGGGTGTTATAAAAAAATTGGATCTAGAGGCAAAGGATAAAGAAAGAATGGGAGGGACACTGATGCTGCAAGTTAAAATGTAGATATTGGGGGGCTGGGTTAAGTGTCAATGTTCAATGATAAAGATACTATCATGGAATGTGACAGAATTGGGTAGGAAGGAAAAAATGAATAAAATTAAAAGCATGATGAAAGCTAGAGGAGCTGACATTGCATTGTTTCAGGAGACAAAGAAAGCATCTATGTCAGAAAAGGAGGTGAGGGAATTATGGGGTAGGGAGAGGATGGATTTCATGACAATGGATGTTGAAGGAACTGCAGGTGGTTTATTATATATATGGGATCTAGGAGTGCTCCAGGTCTCAAGATGCTGCTGCAGTAGAAGATTCATTCTTTTATCAGGTACTTTATTCTTTTCTTTTGATTGTGTTATAGTAAATTTATATGCACCCAATGCAGTGGGACAAAGAGGGAAATTATGGGAGAGTTTGTTGAAGTTAAAGGAGGAGTTCCCTAATCCTTGGTGCTTGGGGATTGACTTCAATGAAATCAGAAACATTGGTGAGAGAAAAAGGTGTTCTAGAAGGGATAAGGGTATAAAGGAGCTGAATGAATTCATTGATAAAAGTGAGGTGAATGATCTACCCCAGTTAGGTAGAAGATATACATGGTGCAACTCAAGGGAATGGGAAAAATGGAGCAGAATTGACAGGGTATTAGTGGAACCAAAATGGTTGGAATCATTTAATCAAAAGTTGTGGGGGTTACCTAGAGCATTGTCTGATCATAGCCCTTTATTATTGATAGAGGATGAGAGAGATTGGATCCCCAGGCCCTTTAGGTTTTTAAATGCATGGACACTACATCCAAATTTCTTACCTTTTGTGGAAAAGTTGTGGAAGGAGCATGATGTTGAGGGATGGGCTAGATTCAGATTATTTAAGAAGATGACAGAGTTCAAGCTATTTCTGAAACAGTGGAATAGTGAAGTATTTGGAAATGTAAATACTAAACTGAAGCAAGCAAAGGATGAGTTGCATAAGATTGATCTGGTAGTAGAGGAAAGAGAGCTTGAAGAGGCAGAAAAAACTAGAAGAAGAGAGGTTAGTGATGAAATTTGCAGACTATATAGAATGGTGGGGTGGATGTGGCTTCAAAAATCAAGACTGAATTGGGGCTTGAAGGAAGACAAAAATTCAAGATATTTCCATGTGGTAGTCAATTGTAGATAGGGGAGAAATGAGATAAACTCATTATCTATAGGAGATGAGGTTTTTGAAGATCCAAATAAAATAAAGAAAGAGGTTCAAGTATATTTTCAAAGACAATTCACAGAGCAGTGGAGATCGAGACTTGTTTTGGAGGGATCATTCAAGTCAGTAAGGAACAACCCATTTTTTTTTGAGGCAGAGATAAGTTGTGCTGTCAAGGATTGTAATGGCAATAAGGCTCCAGGCCTAGATGGGTTTAACTTGGCATGTATCCAAAAGATGTAGAAGGTAATGAAGAGTGATGTGGTCAATTTTTTGAGTGAATTTCATAAAAATAGTAAGTTGGTTAAAGGGATCAATAGTTCTTTTATCACTTTGGTCCTTAAGAAGGAGAATCCGGTGGGTTTAGCTGATTATAGACCAATTAGTTTGGTTGGCTCATTGTATAAAATTCTCTCTAAGGTACTATCTTCTAGGTTGAAGGCAGTGCTACCTCAAATTATAAGTGAAAATCAATCAGCTTTCCTAGGAGTTAGGAACACATTAGATGGTGTTTTGGTGGCAAATGAGGTTGTGGAAGGTTGGAAGAAATTTAGGAAAAGAGGTTTGATCATAGAGCTAGGTTTTGAGAAAGCCTATGACTTATTGCATTGGGATTTTTTTGTTGCCAATGATGACAAATTTTGGGTTTGGAGGAAAGTGGGTGGAATGGATTAAGTAGTGTATTACCTCTTCTAGATTATATGTACTTGTTAATGGAGCACCAACTGGAGAATTTAGTCCACAAAGAGGGCTCAAACAAGGGGTTCGCTATCCCCTTTTCTGTTCAATATAGCAGCAGAGGGATTAAGCATATTACTGTCAAGAGCTTTGGATATGGAGTTGATAAAAGGGATAAAGATTGGCTCAAGTGGGGTAGTTCTGACTCACTTACATTTTGCAGATGACTCCATATTATTGTGTGAAGCTAATGTTTTAGAAGTTAGAAATTTGAAGAGAATATTGAGGTGCTTTGAAATACTGTCAGGTCTGAAGATAAACTATCACAAAAGTGTAGTGAGTGGAGCGGGAGTTCCAGTTGAATCTATGAATGAGTTTGTATTAGTGCTAAATTGCAAAGTGAAAAGTTTGCCAATTAAGTGCCTTGGATTACCATTGGGTGTTAACCCAAGTAGAAAAGCAACTTGGAGGCCTGTTTTGGACAAAGTCAGAACTAAACTAGCAGGGTGGAAAAGGAGATTACTCTCATTTGCAGGGAGATTGTCACTGATAAAGTCTGTACTTTCTTCTTTGCCCATGTATTATCTGTCATTGTATAAAATGCCACAAGGGGTTGTAAGAGAGCTGGACAAGCTTCAGGCCTCATTCCTCTGGGGTGGGTCTGAATTAAGAAAAAAAGTTCACCTAGTATAAAATGGAAGGAAGTCTCCAAACTTGTTGAGCAATGAGGATAGGGGGTTAGGAGAGTTAATGATGTCAATGTTTGCCTTTTATTGAAATGGTATTAGAGGTTTGGAGTTGAGAGCAAAGCACTATGGAAAAGAGTCATATGCAGCAAATACATGGTAGATAAGAGGAATTGGCGGCCTCCATTCAGCTCTAACAACAGGTGTTCAAAAATTTGGAAGGATACAGTGAAAGGCATTGAACAGAATAACAACCTTATGAAGTTTTTTTCTGGAAAATTGTAGGTTAAAAGTAGGTAATGGCCATAGAGTGAAGTTTTGGATTGATAAATGGTGTGTAAATTTAAGTTTTAAAGATGAGTTCCCACTTTTATATAGATTGGTAGTAAATAAGGGAGCGTCTTTATCTGCAATGTTGGAAAGGAAGAAGGATACATGTGAGTGGTCACTCCAATTCAGAAGGGAGCTATATGATTGGGAAAGTACGGAGGTTACCAGATTGATAGGATATCTAGAGGCAGATCCTGCTATCAGGTCATTCTCCGAATATACAATGGTTTGGGAGGCTTCAAAAATAGGAAGGTTTACAGTTGAATCAGTGTATAAATTTATGGCATGTGGTTTTGGCAGCTATAGTGTAACTAGCAAAAGGGTGTGGGTGAAGTACATTTCTCCTAGAGTTCAATTTTTTTGGTGGCTTGCTTGGAAAGATAGACTTAAAACATCAGACTTTCTTCTCCGGAGTAGTGTTCTTAATGCAAATGCATCAACCCTCTGCATTCTGTGCAAATTTGTGGATGAGTCACTTAATCATGTGGCTTGGAGAGTGTGGTCAGAAATACTAAATTGGTGGGATGTACAATGTGCATTGCCAGATATAGTGGAGGCTATTCTTAACTGGTGGGCAGGGGTTATGCTCAACAAAAAGAAGAGGATGATATAGGAAGTTATTCCTATAACAGTACTATGATCCTTGTGGAAACATCGTAATGAATGCTTGTTTAGGGATGTTGTCCCAAATGTGGAAGGTGCGTGTGATCTGATAAAGTTTAGAATGGATGTGTGGTTCAAGGAAGTGTTTAAAGATCATAAATTCACAGTGCATGATTTTATTTTCAAGTTGAAGCATATTAGATTTTGTTTGGGTGGTGGTACAAGGGGAGTGCTTTAAGGATGCTTGGTTTTGGGGTGTCCTGTTGTTGGTATAATCCATTATGTTCAGTAGGGGCCTACGCAGTGTGATCTTCAATGGCTGGATGGGCTAATGAAGTTGAATCTTTGTGGAGTTTATCATTGATAATTCTGTTGCTGCTGATATTGCTGTGTGATCTAGTAGGATTTGGGTGGTTATTATGGCAATGTGTTTGGGTGGTTTATTTGCCTAGTTGTTTTTTTGAAATTTGTTGAGGTAGTAATATGTGTTGGTATCTCTCCAACTTTTGTGGCTTGAACTTGCACATGATTGGGTGGTCCTCTTAGTGCCAACCTAGTTGGGATTAAGAGGTTCGCTATGATGCTTATTGCTCTTGCCTTGCTTTATTGATGTATTCATATGTATTGCATTTTGTTTTCATCAATAAAGTTTATTTTATTTTACTGATAAAAAAAAATGCTAGACTGGGTTATGAGAAATATCAATGGCTGCCTTTTTGTCACAGAACAAGTTCATTTCAAAGTTAGGAGCAAAGCCAATCTCGATTAGTAACCTTTTAGCCAAAGTTCACAAAGACCTTTGGCCATTCCTCTAAACTCAGCTTCAGCACTAGATAATGCCACTACCTTTTGCAACTTGCTCCTCCATGTGATGAGATTACCTTCTAGGAAGGTAAAATAGCCTGATGTGGACTTCCTGTCAGAAATATTCCCTTCCCAATTTGTATTTGTATAACCATCTTTTGATGGTCATTCTTAGAGAACAAAAGCCCTTTTTTAGGAGATGACTTCAAATAGCGAAGAATCTGAATTACTATATCCATATGATCTTAGCATAAGCAATATCTGGGCGCGTATGGGATAAATAAATTAGCTTACAAACCAATCTCTGATAGCTCTCTTTATTAGTTGGTACTTGATCTACATACTCTCCAAGTTTATGATTCTAAACAATTGGAGTATCAGCTGGCTTGTAGTCCAGTAATCTCACTTCTATCACAAATCTACTATATATATCCTTTGAAAAAGAAATATACCTTGTTTTGATATAGCTACCTCAATTCCAAAAAAATATTTGAGTCCTCTGAGATTTTTCATTTCAAATTTGATTGCCAATTGCTCATGTAGTCTGGAGGTCATTTCCATGTCATCCCCTATAATAATCATGTCATATACATAGATTATTAGAGTAGTTATCTTTTCCAGATAATGTTTCAAGAATAGAGTATGATCCAAGTTGCTTTGTTGGAAGCCATATTTTCTCATAGCCAAGCTAAATCGACTAAACCATGCACGGGGTGATTGTTTTAGCCCATACATTGCTCGTTGCAACTTACACACAACCTCAATATTTGAAGATGCAGTGTACCTTGGTGAAGTATCCATTTAAACCTTCTCCTCGAGATCACTATGAATAAAGGCATTTTTCACATCAAACTAATACAACAACCATTCTAAGTTTGCTACAAGTGACAACTAGACTATGACCGTGTTCAGTTTTGCCACTAGTGATCTTGATAATCTATACCATACATCTGAGTATATCCCTTTGCCACAAGCCTCGCTTTGTATTTTTCGATGGATCTATTTGCCTTTGTTTAATGGAGAAAACCCATTTGCAACTTACTGTCTTATTTCCCTTCAATATTGAAACAAGAAGCCATGTTTTATTCTTCTCCAGAGACTCAATTTCTTCTTTTATAGCTTGAACCCACTTTGGATTTGTTAAGGCTTCTTCTATTCTGCTGGGAACTTGGCATGAGGACAACTTATGCACAAATGCTTTGAGGGGTTCTGATAATCTTTGAGTGGACACATATATAATTGGCAATTGGGTATCTTGATCTTTTTTCCTCAACATCTGGGAAGTACCGATTTGGTGGCTTGCCACAATTGTGTCTGAAAGATAAATTATAACCAGCAGAAGTATTCAAGTCATTAGTAGGATATGGTGTAGTAGGAGGGCTTATCTCAGGAATTTTCTCAAGAGATGGGCCTTTAAGTAGTAAGGAGTGGAGAGATTCGTTTTCAAGGTCGGATGATTCTTGTTTAGTACCGGATGAATCATGCTCAACCCCCTGAATAATATCAGTACCATTCCATTCTGTCTGCTTAGCATTAGTTCTCTTTTCCCCACTAACTATCACCTCATGTTCTTCACTTTCACTCACTTCTCCTAAATTGTCTTCAAATCCAATACAATCCCACCAATTTTACTCTTCATCACGTGTCTCCCCCTCAAGAGAATAAGTGGATAACGATGGAAGGAAAAAAAATCTCAAATTCTAAGAAAGTAACGTCCATAGTAATGTAGGTGCGCTTGGTGGTAGGATTGTTACAACGATATCCTTTTGTGTGCAACATACCCCAAAAAAACACAACGACCTACGTACAGATCAAGCTTAGTGTGTTGATTTTTATGAAGATGAATGAAAGAGACACAACCAAATATTTGTGGAGGAA